CACAGCCTCACTTGCGCCAGGTTCTCGTCATACTCCGGAGCGAGGCCGTAACGCTTGGCATGCTTGGCATACTTCCTTAGTGCCCCACCCTTGCTCCCCATAGAAGGGGCTTGCACACAGTGTTTTTAAAACTTACATGGGTTTTCGTCTGTGTTTGGCAAGGGTACACTGCACGCGAGAAAAACGTACGGTTGGTTTATTCATGAGCATGGGAGATTGCATAAACCATCGGAGCATGCTAAAAGCCGTCACAACATCCCAAACCTTAAAGTGTAGGCCAGCTGCACAAGGGATCACGGGACTGGCATCCAAGGAACCCCAGACCCCGGCCCCACAACCTTCTTTCTCAAGAAGGAAACTGACAACAATCACCTAAACAATTCAACTCGAGACTCCGGCCTTAACTTCGCCCTTCCCCTCCACAGCCCCGTAGCAAGCTCCAAATCCTCACCCTTAGTTTCCCGAAGATCTGCTTGCGCTCGAAGGCACCTGTAGCTGCCGCCCACCACAAAAACAACACGCTGGGCCTTCTCCTCCACCAAGTACTGCGGTATTGAAGTCACCTCAGCCAATACTGTTCGGGATTTGGCAAGCTCTAGGCGAAGCGACATCTTCGAAGCAGGCTGGCAAAGAACTGGCAAGCGTTAGGCATGATTGCCTATCTGTTTTTTTTGAGGGGCCAGATGTCCAATTCTTGAGCATGAACAGATTCCCTGAAGCTTCCATACAAAATCAAGAGTTTCGGGGATGAAGGTACGGGGCTTGAAGAAGTGCGATTTGCTCAACCTTGATGTCCATAATCCGTGGGGCAGAACAACATGTTGTCCCTGTCAAGATCTGTTTTGTAGGCGCGAAGTCCGTCATCTGTGGTTGAGAACAACATGTTGCGTCCCGGAGAAGATCCGTTCTGTGGCTGCGGCTAAAGCAACCCGCACCAGCCGCAAGGTCACAGGTCTATCCGACCCTGAAAAAGCACCGGAACAGGCTTCACGTCTACGATGAACTCGCAGGCTTCATTTCAATTAGAAGTGCAGATCCACAAGCATTTAATTCTGAACCTCACCGAACCCCTCCTCCCGGACCCAAGCCCAAACCCAGATGTGCTGAGTCGCAACATTCGCGGCCCGTCTGCCCTTAGTGCACGATACTGCGATCGCGTGAGCCACAGCTGCCTTCAACAACTGAGTGGTTCGGGCTTGGGAAAACTGTCGGGGACGGCACAACCAGTTCATCGTAAGCACGCGCCCTGTCTTCGCTTCGACTCACCCACAACTAGCTTCGGAGGGATTCTCGATGAGTCTCTCCACGTGGCTGCGCCAATCGCCTGCTACTCCACTGCACTGTCCAATTCGTTGTCTGTTGTAGTCTGGATGTGATTATTTTCCTGTCGCCTATCACCCACACTTTTCTGAAACGAGTTCCGGCAGGGTATCCGCGCACCTGTTTTGGAAGTGTGTGTGGCATTCGTCACGTTCAGCCTGGCACTTCAGTCAGGGGCCAGGAGCAGACTGTCCTCAACGTAGGCTCACTTGCTGCAGCCGTCACTAGGCCTAAGGCTATAATAAGATTAAAAGTACAAAGAAAACAATAGCAATGCCAATTGCAATAGTAAACAGAATAACAAACATAGTCATATTAAAAGTAATGTTAGTAATACTTCTAATAGAGTGCGGGGGACTGTGGGCGTATTGGAATAATGTATAGTCACAACACACGGCCAGGTCTGCTTCTCCAGCACGGCACGCATCTCCTGCAGCTTCGCAGGTGTACGATCAACTCTTGCATGGGCAGCGGCTCCTCGGCCTCGTCCTTGAACTCCGGCACATGGATGAGGCTTACTCGGACCTGGGGCGAGGCGGAGGGGCATCTGCTCAGATGAATGGAGATAGTGAGCCAGAACGTGGTGGTAGCCTCTCGTGCAGTCAAGCCTACGGACTCTTTGGGGAAAGCATGGATACATGCGGCACAATGCCGCAAGTGCCAAGAACGGTAACAACAAGAAGGCACGAGCATCAGATACACCATCAGGGACTGTCAAGCAGGCTCGAAACTCGAAACTGCCATACGATGCCATGGCACTAGGGGCTGCTCGAACCACAGGTTCCGCTAAGAAAAATCCTAAGACGAAGTCCCAATCCCTGTGCACGTCTCTCTGCACCTTACATTAGGCTCAAGCTCTACACCATCTAAACCCACCTGCCAAGCTCCCAGTACACTGTACACCCTGCTAGGGTTCCGACGCCCTCCGCAGTATCGCTGCTGGCATCGGAAGGTCAGCGTCAAAGCTGGCCTCGCAAGCTGCTTCTGTCAACCGGATGTTCATGCGTGTTTGGGGTTGAGGGTCTGATTTAGAATTCGGGGAAGAGATACATCGACGATAATGATAATGGTAGTAGTCGTCGTGCTTCTCATCATCGTCGTCGTCGACGTCGTAGTAGCAACAGTAGTAGGAAGAGCAGGAGTAGGAGTAGGAGTACGGTCAGGAGCAGGAGGAGTAGCACTAGCACTAGCAGTAGCAGTAGCAGCAGCAGCAGTAGCAGTAGCAGTAGCAGTAGCAGTAGCAGTAGCAGTTGCAGTTGCAGTAGCAGTAGCGGTTGCAGTAGCAAAAGCAGTAGTAGTAGTAGTAGTAGTAGTAGTAGTAGTAGTAGTAGTGGTAGTGTCAATAGCAACGATAATAATGACAAGGATCCATATGCAGAGCCCTATTAACACCAAGGATGTTGATGAGGCTCCTCC